GGTGGCCGCCCGCGGTCCCGCCTCCCCCGCGGCCGCCAAACTTCGCTCGACTTTGACGCGGGTTCCGGGGCCTCTCGCGTCCTCACTGCGGAGAGAACGGAGGGCTGGGGCCCGAGCGGGGCTGGAACGGAGCTCACGTCCCTCCACCGCGCTGCCCCGCGGGAGCCGGAGCTTAGCGCTCAATTCGAGAGAGAAAGTCTGGAGGCCCGGGGCCCCCATCGGCTTCTGGTTCTTCCTTGGGCTGCGGCGGCCGAGGTCCGGGGCCGGGACTGTGTTCTCCACGAAGTCCTTCCCTTGAACCCACCTTCCCTTGGCTCCCCGTGCGCGCCCCGAGCTCGGCCTCCCTCGGGTCTGCCGTTCTGCGGGCTCCCGCCCACCCTGCATCCTGTGGCCCCCCTAGAGCCCCTCTCCAAGCCTGACCTCAACTTCAACTTCCCGAGTTGAGGGCAGCTTCGCTGTGGAGCGACGGTGTTGTAGCGAGAGTCGGGGAAGGAAACCGCCGACCCCTCTCAACTAAGCTGTCATCAAAGCGAAGGACACGTGACTGTCCTCTCACGGCAGCCAGTGGGTGGGGGTCGCCCAGGCTGTGCTTGGACTTGGAACCTGCCGTCCTTTCCACAGGCTTTCTAGCACCAGATGTGGAGCTGGGGAGGAAATGAGAGTGTCTAACCTCACCGATCCTTCCAGATCACATACGAGGGTAGGGCAGCAAGACCCGAAGTCAGTCGGGGTCCTGGACGGCACTTTTCTCCCATCTGCCGCCCCAGACACCCCTAAGCCCCTCTCTGTGCCTCTATCTCCATCCACCCAGGGTCCTGACCCTTCCCTGGCTGCTCCTCTGGAGCTCGGAGAGCGGACGGTGCGGGGAGCTGGCTGTTTCTGTTACTGTTGGGGGGTGAGGAGACAGAGTGTAGAGGTGAATAGCAAGATCCTCAGAGCCCCTAGAAGGGAGTGAAGGAAGAGGAGGGGGGTGTAGAGAGAAGTCCGATTTTCTGCTCAACTGTCCAAGGAGTATCTGGTTGGATTGGACAGCCCCCCCTAGGGTACAGGCCCTGGGTGCGTAGGCTGGGTGTAGGCTGATGCCCTGTGTGTGGCGTGTGAATGTGAACGTGAGGATGATCAGGGTTCTGTGTGTCTGGAGTAGTGTGTCTGGGTGTGTGTGTCAGTACTTGAGGAGGTCGGGATGTTGAGTAAGGTCGGACCTCCTCCCCTATAGCCGGCTGACCCAGTCAGCGGGTAGGACAAGGGCTTGAGGTCTCTGCTAAAGAGCTCCGTGCAAAGCTGAAATGAGACTGCAGGTCTCGGACTGAGGTAGCCTCGAGTGTGAGAACGAGTGTGAGAACACGGGAGCCCTTCCAGAGGGGTGGGTGGTGAAAGTAATCTGTCCATTCTGTGGCCCAAGATCGATGTGTCCCTGCCTCGTGTCCCCTTCTGACTCACCCGATTTGGACTTCTTCAGTGTCCATGGAGGTCCCTGACCAAGGGTTTGTGAGCTACAGGTGCACCTGCAGGGGTGGGGGATGATCTCTAGGGTCACCCACTCTCCAAGGGAAAGGAAGAGGCTCCAGAAGGCCAGGTGAGAACTAGGATGTGTGAGAAGGCTGGGAGCTCAGACCTGGACCGGCTGGGACTGGCTGGGATGGATCCCACCCCAGGCGAGGCTTCCAGCCCTGCTCAGCTGTCTCCCAGCTGCTGAGGCTTCAGCCTCGTGAAAGCAAGCTGGAAGCAGCAAAGGCCTTGGCCTGTGGGCATTTGAGGTCAGGCATGTGTCAGAGTGTTGCTATCTCAAGATGAAGGCTTTGGGGATCTGCTCTGACGCAGACCACACAATGACGAAAAGATACAGCAGCAGGGTGCAGCAGGGAGGCCCCAAAGCCACAGGAGGTGAGAGAGGCAAAGGCTGCAGAGTCAGAACGGGATTGGGATGGGCCTGGCCTTACCCCATCAGTGCTGTCCTCTCTGCCCTATTCTGATGTGAAGGCCACTGTGGGCCACCCAGCATCCCCCAAACCTTCAGCCCCTCCTAGCCAGGCCCTGCCACTGAGGGGGCCCAGGAAGTCGTGTGGGAGGGGCGGCGCTGTGCCAGTGCCTGCTGTGTCAGTTTAATGATTTTTAATGAGCAATTACCTTTAGTCATTCCCCTAATTTCTGAATATCAATAAAGTTAATTAAACTCTGCATGTGCGAATGTGGCCTGGGGAGATTGTGAAGGTGGAAGCAGCAGGGACTGAGGTGGGGTTGGGTCTCCAGGATTAGAGCCTGCCTCCTCCGCTGTGTGACCTTGGACCTGCTACTCCCCCTCTCTGAGCTCTGTTTGAGTGCGTGATGGAAAGGCGAAGAGGGGACAGCATGTGGGATTTGCTCACTCTGCAGGAACCGAGGAAGAGAATCTGGGAAAGGAGGACTGGAGGAAGGAAAAGGGCGAGGAGGTCTCCAGGAGCCCCAGTTCTGTAGGGGTTAATAAACCCAGGCTGCCTTAGCCTAAAATGGAAATTTGCTGTTTGCTGCAAATCCTTGATCTCCTTGGTTCGGGATTCTGATGCGTTCTTGAGTTTAGGGACTTCCACTGAAGCCTAAACCAGACCCTGCTCCTTGGCCCCTGTCTGGCACTTTGGATTAGGAAGTTGAAGCTGGTTTTAAAAAAAAATAAATCCAACAAAATACAACTACAGAAGACCGTGTACATGCCTCAGAGCCACGAAGGTTGCAGTAGCGGATGGGAGGCACCTGGGGCTTCTAGGGAGGCTGGAAGGCCCAGCCTCTGCACCAGGGAGGAGAGCAGGCTAGGTCGGCTGTGGCCCTTCACAGGCATAAGCCCATCACGCATGGCAGGCCCTGGCATCTGTCCCAGCCTCCTCAGCAGGGTGGTGGCTTAAAATGCCTTGGGGACGCCTTGGGGTGCTAAATAGGGAGCAAGGAGACACAGAAGAGACTAGGCTTAATTGGAAACTGGGCTTAATTAGAAATTAAGCTTCCTCCTTCTCCCCTGCCAGACTCCTTCTCATGGTCGCCTGCCTACATCGCAGTGGGCAAAGCCTGCCTGCTCATCCTGGCCCCACTAGAGGAGCCCTGGTTACACAGCCTTTAAGCACTCAGTTTCTGATCCTAAGGATGGCGGCAGCAGAGGAAGAAGGTGTGGTGATCTGCTCCAATTAAGATTGCAGCCAAGGAGACCCTGTGGACAGTTCTGTCCTGACAACTTGAGCACTTCTAATAACAAGTCTCAGTAGCCCCAGAATCCTGCTTCAGTTCAGAGATGCTACTCCCTTTCCCCTTCCTAGACATAGCTGCTGGGCAGGAGTTGTACCCTATTCCCACCCCCAAGCAAGAAGACAGGACTTGGGAAAGGGTCTGGAGGCAGAGGTTACTTTAACGAAGGAATCTCTCAGGGACTTAGTAGTTCAGGCTACCCCAGTGGCACCAGGCAAACCCTGTCCTCTCTGGTCCTCTATTTTCTGGAACATTTGATGTAAGGCTGCAAAAAAGTTTGCCAAGCCTGGAAGCCATCATGGACTTACAGAATTAGTCAGTCAGGTCCTCCTCTGTTTACTGGCCTAACCTGGGGACAGGGAGCCAGATCTGCATTCAGGAGGCTTCTGGTCAGCACTTGGAAGGTGGGAAGCAGACATGAAGGTCTCCAAAGCCCCTTCCAGACCTAAGTCTGCAATTCCAGCTGGGAAGCAGCAGGTCCAGGAAGCCAACTCTCCCAGCCAGACCTATAGCATTTCCAGTTCAGTTCCCTAAACCAGCCACATTCTCAAACACCTCTGGGTCTTTGCCATTCTCTCTGCCTGAAATTCTTCCTCACCCTGAGCCAGCTTGGCTCTCGCCATGCCTCAGCTCTCAGCTTAGCTGGCAACTCATGTAATGCATCAGCACATATTTATGGAGCATCTACTATGTGGCTTCACAGAATAAGCCTCTCCTGACACGCAGCCTTGCTCAAGGGACATTTCTGTACTACACAATGCCCTGACCTCTCTCATCAGGGCACCTGGTTGCTTGATGCTCCTCCCAAGCAGCAAAACTGAAATCAGAAAAGGGGATACCAAGTCAGCCTTAGCCCCAACCATGTTGGGAAAGCTCCAGAATTCTATTCAAGAAAAGCGGAGGGTTAGCTGGTTGGTTGGAGAGGGGAGGTGGGCTCATGGCAGCTGGGACTGTGTCTTGAAGCTGTGTTTGCGGAGCAAGCACACTATTTTTACATAGATTGTATGTTACGATTTTTCCCCCTTCCTAACGGTTGGCCAATTATCCCAACTGTAAATTATAGCTTTTACTTCGTTTTTTTCCTTCCACAAATTAAGCTGTCACGCTGTCAGCCTGAGGTGACTTGGGGGTGGAGTGCTGATGGCCATTCTGGGAGGACGAAAGCTTCTCCCAAGCTACCCTTCAGTGTCCCCACTGTGTGTGTCCCAGCACAGAGCCTAGTATGTAGACATTAAATACATGTGCAATAAATGAACGGGATTGCATAGAAGATAGTTGCAGAGCTAAGCTCAGAGCACAGGCTTCTTGATTTGTCTTCACAACACTTAACTACCCACCTCTTCTGGTTTGTATTAAAGACTGGAATAAAAGGCAGTGCTGG